ACATATCCGTTGAAATGCATTGGTTCGTACACTGAAAAAAAAAGTATTGAACCAAGAAAATTTTTCTTGGTTGAAACAAATCGTGGGATTGAATACGGCCAAGACTATTAAAGTATTGATTCAAGAAAACGATTTTCTTGACATAGGATATTTGGGAGAAGAACATATATTCTTGATCCAAGAAAATATGGAATTCGACCAAGAAGTTAGTCTTCTTATACGAAGTATGAAATGTATTAAATGAATAAAATATTTTCTTGTTCTAAGAATATATATAGATAATTGAATTATTTTATTTGATTCATTCAATTTTTTGTAACGTTCGTTCAAGTAATTCAAGATTTAAATGAAGAAAACATTTATTTTGTGAGAAGAACAGATATTCTTGATCCAAGAAAATATGGAATTTGATCAAGAAATTAAGTAGCATGTAAGAAATGCAGAATATATTAATTCAAAATCATTTATGTATCAAATCAAGAAAGTATGTTCTCTGTCCAAGAAAATATTTTCTTGATTTGAGAAAATTTATAGATTTCAATCAAAAAAATACTTTCTCAATACAAGTAAATTATTTACTTAAATTCCCCCCCCCCTTACCCCCATCCCATCTTTTCTAATACTTAGGTCAAACATTTTTATTATTTAATTAATTAACATTTATATTTTTTATTTAAATAATTAAATAATTGTTATTTTACATATATATTTACATTTAATTATTACTTAACACAAATACAACAAATATACCTTGAAATAAAATTTTCCACGGTCGGAGGAATTGAACTCGGGTTGCACGCACCAGAAGCCGTCACGCTACCACTATGCCATCCTAGCCTCAATGGACAGTTTTCAAAAACTGATATTTAAGTTGCATATACATTTGAAGAAAAATATTTTCTTGGATCAAGAACACTGGCATTGTGTTAAGTAAAAAAAAGTTTCAAAGCAAATAAATGAAATGATTCGATTCAAGAAACATGAATTCTCCACACAATACTTTATTATTTCGCTAAAGAACATGATATTCTAGATTCAATACTTTTTGGTACTTCGGAAAAGTAAAATATTTGGTTGAAATAATTACATATTGAGTTCTGCCAAATACTAAATTGTTAATTCAAGAATTCTGTTCAATGCTAATATTTACTTGACACAAGAAAATGAATTTCTTTCTTCAAATAAATATGGGATTAATTGAATATAATTTTTAATCGACTTGAAACAAATATTTACTTATATTAAGATCTTACACTTAATTGAATTGAATAAATAAAATATTTCATTCCAGAAAATATAACATTCTCGCAAGAAATTAATGATTTTGAAACATGAGAATATAGAAATGCTTCAAGTAAAAGAAATGCTTAGATTAATTAATATTTCTTTGAAACAAAATAATTTTTAATTGAGTTGAAACAATTATTAACTTGTATTAATCTTCCCATTTTCTTGGCTCAAGACTATGGGTGTTGGATGAAATAAATAGTTGCTTTAAAGGAAATAAAAAAATTATTTGACTCAAGATACCAAATGACTCAAGGTAAATTACTTGACGTGAGAACATGATATTCTTGATTCAATACTTTTTCGAGACTTGGCGCATGTAAAACAGTTCGTTTGAAACAGTAAGATATTTACTTATGTCAAACCCATATTTTCTTATTTCAATAACTTTGATCAATGCTCAAAATTACTTGACACAAGAAAATAAATTTCTTCCAATAAGAAAATATGGGTTTGTTTCAAATAAATCAGGTCAAGAAAATGCATTTACTTGATTCAATGAACTTTTTTTTTCAGTGTATAGTCGAAATCTCGCGAAAATTACTCAACCCGGTATTTAGGGCATGAAACTTTATACATATATGCGCAATTTTATATATATAGTGATATGATTCCAGCAAATATATACATGAATATGCATTCCTTTTGTTGCATCGAAAAAACAGTTTTAAAATTTCTCAAATTTATGGTTCATTCAATTTTAATTAATTTTAAATTCTTCTTGTTTTAACGAAAATACATTTTTATTATTTAAATTAAAAATTAAAAATTGACACTGGCCGAAAGAGTAAAAAAATAACCATTGATTTTTGGGTACTTTGAAAAAATCGTAATTTTTGTCTAAAAATAATTATTTTGTTCCTGAAGAAAGGAAGAAAAATGTAAAATTAAAAATTCGTTTTCTTTTTTCACTATATAGAGTACTTGAAATATTTTTCATTACTCATCTTCTAATCGCAGTGTGCGACGATAATTTATCGAGATACAAAGACGAATAATTGTGTTTTCAAATCACTAATTAAATTATCAGTAATAGAGAGGAATGCGATTAATAAAAGTTAGTGACTTGATTACATTATACAGGAAATTATTTTGGCCTCGATTTTTTTTCGTCTAAATTAATTAATTTTATTAATTAAGGTTATTTTTTGTCATTTTCTCTTGTAAATTAATAATTTTTTGTCCCACGTGTATTGTGTGCGAGAAGCAATGTTGAAATTACAATAATAATTACAAAGAAAATTGTGTAAAAATTTACTAATTTATTTCATGTAATTTTTTTTTGAAATTTTTGTTCTTCAGAAAATAACAACACGGATGTAATAATTATTATTAAGCTCGTTTTTTTATTATTTCAATGATTATTATTAATAAATTTGCTAAGCAAATATTACAAGAACAAAAGAAATGTTGTAACGAAAATTTTAGATTTTTTTTAGTTTTAGTTCATTTTTTTATTTTATTAATTTTTTAGGGTTGCTACAGGTCAGAGAATTCAAGGGAAAGTCAGGAAAAGTTGAATTGTTCAGGGGAATCGGGGGAAAGTCAGGGATTTTTATTAAAAGTACTAGAAAAAGTAAAATTTTTAGATTTTATAAGAAAATCCTAAATTTTTGTGTCTTTTTTGTTTGCCTCATAAACTAAGAAATCACCACGAATTCTAATACAGAACCTTCAATTTTTTCTATTTCTGACAATAATTTATTTTTAAATTTTAATATAACTCTTAAAGAACTATCATACAATTATTATTTAGACGTTAGAAATTATTTAATAAATAATTTTACTTAAATATTTCAAAATTAATTGAATTTTAAGTTTCCATTAAAAGATGAATTTCTAAAGGTTTAAACTTGAAATATTTTATAAAATTTCGATTTTCAATGAACTTAATTAAAAATTTTAAAGAACTTATATTTTTGAAAAATTGTAATAATTCAAATTCTTCTGAAATTAGTTACATTTTTAAGTGTTTATTTAATTAATTATTAAAAATAATTCCATTATTTTCATAAATAATAAAATTCTTTTTAGGAATTAAATTATTTTCATAAATAATAAAACTCAACCAAGAATTTCAATTATTTTTAATACAATATTAATCAAATTTCTCGAAAAATGTAATTATTCTTAAAAATTTTATTAAAATTTATTATTAATAAATAGAAAATAAAAATAAAAATTCGTCGAAAGATTTCAATTATTTAAAAATTTATTGATAACATAAAATTCTTTCTGAGAATTGAATTTTTAGAAAAATTCAAGTATTCAATAAATTATTTATTTTTGTAGATATTTAAATAATTGAATTCTCGTAGATTTTTCTAATAAAAATTGATTTAAAATTTCACTTTCAGTTAACATTTTAAATAATAATTGAATATTAAAAGCATTATAACGTGAAGTTTTATAAATAATAGAATTTTGAAAAGGTTTCAAATTAAAATCTTTAAAAATTTGAATTTTTCGTACTTTTAACTGACAATTCTGTAGAATTAATTTTTTTAAAAAAGTTAATTTAAATTTTTTTAAAATTATTCGTAAAATTGAATTGTAAACAAATGCATTTGAAAATTCTCAAAGAACTTTTTGAATAATTAATAAAAATAATTTATTAAAGAATACTGGTCATCAAATAAAAAATAACTTGATATCTTTCCCTGAAAAGCTTGTTTAAAAATCAAAATTCGCGCTTAATAAAGAAATAAATTGATTCTCAAGGGATTGAGAAATAAAGTTCATAGAGTACATTTTTTCTTATCTCCTAGAAGTATTAGAGAAAACGTATTTTAAAAGTCCTCGGCTCTTTAGGAAGTTTACGTAAATACGTAAATGAGGCATTCCATGTCAAGTGATCCAGGTGTCTTACGGTGTAATGCTTATTTCGATAATTTTTTACTCTTAAACTATTAAACATAAAAATTTGGCAAGGTACATTTTGGAAAGGTTTTTTCATGCTCTTTCGATTGAAAATAAGCATTTAAAAAAAAAATTTTTTTTTGACCCAAAAAAATCAAAATTAAAAATAAATTTTAATTTTTTGGAAAAAAGGTCCCATTTTTTTTTTTTTTTTTTTTTTTTTAACGAAAGCTGAGGTTTTTTCCTAAAAGGACATATAAATGAAAAAGTGGGACAAGAATGTTTAAACATTGAAAAAATGAATTTTCTCGTAAACAGAGCTAAAAACCGGGTTTAGAGAGTAGAAACCTCTGTTTTTCAATGTTTAAACATTCTTGTCCCACTTTTTCATTTATATGTCCTTTTAGGAAAAAACCTCAGCTTTCGTTAAAAAAAAAAAAAAAAAAAAAAAAATGGGACCTTTTTTCCAAAAAATTAAAATTTATTTTTAATTTTGATTTTTTTGGGTCAAAAAAAAATTTTTTTTTTAAATGCTTATTTTCAATCGAAAGAGCATGAAAAAACCTTTCCAAAATGTACCTTGCCAAATTTTTATGTTTAATAGTTTAAGAGTAAAAAATTATCGAAATAAGCATTGTACTGAAAAACCCAAAAATTTAACCCCCTCCCCCTCGGAAAATATTGGACTAGGTAAAAAAATATTTTCACGAAAAATTACTATCTATTAGTACTACAAAAGCCCCAAGTTTTGCTACGATTGGAGAAAAATTTTTCTCCACCTGGATCACTTGACATGGAATGCCTCAAATATGTATTTTTGATATTTATTAAAATAACTTTTTTAATTTTTGCAGCCTCGACAGAAGTGGTTTTGACAGTGCAACAAAAACCAGTGAGTTCTGGAGCATCGGGTTTACCAGGCGATCATCCGGGACAACAGCAACAACAACAACAACAACAGCATCATTATCATCATCCAGTTGGTATCACCACAGTGGGTACAATGGTATCACCTTCGCAACCTGCCACATCCCTCCACAGGGCATTTACCGCACCAGCTGGAGGTGTATCGTGTACCGATCGCATTACTGGGCCACAACCCGTCGACGTAAGTCCCTATCATCATCATCATCGCACGAATTCTGGCATTGCTTTTCATATCTACAGCAACGAAAATAATAATAATAATCATCATCACAATACTTCTAAATCTCCACGCTTAGATTCTTATTTTTCCCCTGCTTCTTCATTCTCGCCTGATTCACCTTCACGTTTGTTACGAAATCCGAGAACTTGGAGGCTTTTTGCCAGTACACCAGTTGTTAATGTAAGCTCGTTTTTTTATTATTTTTTTTCCCATGTATTTTTTTACAGCTGTATATGAGGTGCTATATCTTACTTTAAACATTTTTTAATAATTGCAGGGATCGAACTAGGTCCGTAAATTTGCTTCAAGTCCGTAAAAGTCAGTTTTTTTAAAAAAGGTCCATAATTTGATTGAGAAAAGACGAAAAGTTAATTGTACGATATAATTTGGAGAACTTTTAGAGAAGTTACAAATGATTGCAGAAATTCAATTATTTTCAGAAGTAATAAAATTCTTCGCAAAAATTCAATTATTTTCAAAATTTTTTTTAAATTATCGTCAAAATTTCAATTATTTTTAGAAATAATTAAATTCTTCTCCGAAATTCAATTATTTTCAAAAATTTTAATAAAATTCTTGGCAAAACTCCAATTGATTTCAAAACTTTTTCCTCAATTCAATGATTTTTAATACATATCTACTTTTTTAATAAAATTTTCCAAAAGAATTCAATTATTTAAAACAAATTTAATAAAATTGTACGCAAACCTTTAAATATTTAATAAAATAATAAAAACTTTCACAGGAATTCAATTATTTACAAATTTTTTAGCAATAATTCCATTATTTTCATAAATAATAAAATTTTTACAGGAATTCAATTATTTTCGTAAATAATAAAATTCTTTTTAGGAATTCAATTATTTTCATAAATAATAAAACTCATTGTAGAATTTCAATTATTTTAAATACAATTTTAATCGAATTCTTTATGAGAATTCAATTTTAAGAAACATGCAATTGTTCAAAAATTTGTTTTTTTTGTATTTAAATAATTTAAATCTAGTAGAATTTTCTAATAAAAATAGATTTAAAAATGGATTTTAGTTAAAATGTTAGATTTTAATTGAATATTAAAAGTATTAGAGCTTGAATTTTTAATAATTGAATTATGTGGAATTAATTTTTCTGAAAAAGTTTAATTGCTGTTTTTTTTGAAATTATTTCAAGTTTTTATTTTCTAATATATATTTAATTGAAGAATTTACGTGTAATTGAAATTTCGTAAAATTGAATATTGTAAACAAATGGATTTGAAAATTGTCAAAGAACTTTTTCGAAAATTATTAAAAAAGAATTTTAGTTGAAAATTCTTGAAAATAATAATTGAATTGGTAATGATTTTATAACTCGGTCATCTTTAATTATTATAAAGCATGAAGAAATCGATCACTCCGAGTCGAAGACTCGGACTTATCGATATCTGTATATGTATTATAGTTATGAAAAATTTAATTTATAGTTTTAAGTAAAATGTTTTCTTATTTGACTTGGATTGGTTATATTTTTGTCCGTAAATGGTCTGTAATTTTTCATTTTTGGTCCGTAAAGTCCGTAAGACGATCGGGAGAAGTGTATTTTTTAAAAGAATTCGAGGCTTCACACATTTAATTATTTAAAATAAAATGTTCATTAAATTTTTTCGAAAAAAATCAATTATTTAAAAGAATTTTTATGAAATTCTTCGCGGGAATTCAAATATTTTAAATATAATTTTAATAAAATTCTTCGATGAAATTCAATTATTTTCATAAATAATAAAGTTTTCAATGAAATTCAATTTTATAAAATATACAATTTTCATAAAATTTTCGCAAAAAAATCAATTATTCTAAAAAATCTTTATAAAATTCTTTTTAGGAATTTAATTATTTTCATAAATAATAAATTTTATCTTGCAATCGCAATTTTATTTAGCTACTATTTCATCTATTTTACATTGTTTTTTTTTTTAAATTCTTTGCTTAAATGGAATCCCATTAACGTAAATATGCTTAAAACAATAATGTAATAATTTTCTAACAAATTTTAGAAATACTTTTTTGTAAAAGGTCGCTTGACTAAAATTTGCGGTACCTTCCTCCTGAGAAACACTTTTTTATTCCTTATTTTTAAGGAAGCAGGAATTTCTTTATTATTATTTTTATTAAATTTTTATATTGTCGAATAAAATACTTCATGTACGTGTTTATTAAGCGCCAAATCTAAAGTAACAGGAAATGAAGCAAATTTTCCGTTATTTTTTTTAAAGTTGGATAAGTTATTTGGAAAAATGGAACTAATTTTCCGTTCGATAAAATTTTTATTCAGTGTAATTTATCGTTTACTATAATTTGTATTTTTCAAAATTTCGACTTGGAATTTTGATTTTTTTCCATTCTTTCGAAGTCTCTGTTTGTTACAATTTTCATGCTTGACGAATTTCAGTTCATGAAAATTTCTATTTGGCTGAATTCACATTTTACAAAATGTTTTATAATAACTGAATGTGTTTAGAGAAATATATAAATTTTATTTAACAGTATTTCCAATTAAAAATAAATGCTTTAAAAAAATTTACACTTCGATACCTCCATGTATTACAATCCTATCTTACGGTGAAGGTTAATACAGTCCTATCTTGCGGTAACGTTTTATACAGTTCTATCTTGAAGTGACGGTTTATACCATTCTATCTCAAAATTTTCAATTTTTCAGTTTTTTGCTAAAATTATAGAAGAAAATATTCTGTATTAGATGGTAACACCTAAAATAGTTATATTAATTAGGATATTTATAAAAAACAGTAATTAGAAATAATAACAAGTTTTATCTTCCAAGTAAAAGTGTTCTATCTTTCTTTTGTTTTTGTATCTGTCAAAAAAAATATACACATGTGATTCGTATAATCGCGTTAGAAAAGCAAAAAAGAACAAAAGGTAGAAAATGGATATCCCTTTGGATTTAAGTATGCCATCAGGAAAAAAATTCTTTACTGAATAATAATAAAAATATATAAATTTATAAAGTGATTATTTTATCTGTTAATTTTGCTTTATTTTAACTTTTCTTACACCAGGAGAGACTTGTTCTGACGTAGAAATTGAGATCATTCGAATTCAGACTCGGATTGACTATTTTGACTAATATTACAGATACTTTTATTATTATAATTATATTGTAATTTATAATCTTGTTATCGTTTGTGAAATATATAATAAAATACTAGTATAATATAATCCTTGAAACATACTTATTAATTCTATATTGGAGTGACGTTTTCAACGTTTATTAAAGTAAAATAATGTAGATTTTTAAATTATTTTATTATTATTCTATTTGTATTCTCACTTGTGTAAAAATTTTCTACAATCAAAACCTCGTTTACTTACTTATTTAAATATTTGTATCTATACTTAAAACTCATAAAAATGATACGTTTATTTTAACTAATAATAATTGATAATTAAAATTAAACAAGAAAACTAACAACATTATTTTTATCATTCCACTATCCCGTGAAATATTAACCTGTCATAAAATTAGGTTAATTAACCTTTGTAGACGTATTAAGAATGCATTTTCTTGGCTTGATTTTATATAATTGTGTTTTATTTATGTATATTATGATAGAAAAATCTTTAAAGAATTACATAAAAATTATCTTATGAATATCAAACTGTCATTAATATTTTTAATATGGAATTTACTTTTAATTTGGCTCTTACGCAAAATTGGCAAATTTGAGATAGAATGGTATAAACGGTCACTTCAAGATAGAACTGTATAGAACGTTACCGCAAGATAGGACTGTATTAACCTTCACCATAAGATAGGATTGTAATACATGGAGGTATCGACTTAAGTAACTTTTTTATTAATTTTATTTAATAAAAGTTCTATTGAAAAGAATTCTTTTAAACTAAATTTCTGCAGAGAAGAATTTATATTTTTCCAAATCTCTATTTATCTTAAATTATTTATGCCTATAAAATATTTTGTGAAATGGAAATTCAATTAAATAGGTATAGAAATTTGATTTAGTAAAAATTTGATTTAGCAACAAATTCTTGTAAATGAAAATTCGATTTAATAGAAATTTTTCTAAATGGAAATTCGGATTAGTAACAATTTTTCTCATTGAAAATTCGATGTAATAGAAATTCGGTTTAGCAAAAATTCTTCCAAACGAAAATTTGATTTAATAGAAATTCTTCAAAATGGGCATTCGGTTTAGCAGAAATTTTTCTCAATGAAAACTTTTTTTCAATTTCCAAAATTTATTTTTAATTTACAGGAAAAATGAATGCCTACGCTTTTTTTAATTCGTAAAAATATATTTTCGTTTGTTTAAAATATTTTTCTTGATAGAAGTAAACTTTTCACTGTCAGTCAGAGCCATTAGTAAACAGAAATATAAATTAACGAGAAATATGTATTTTTGAAAATTCTTTACAATTTTCATAACTTTTTATACATTAATATCTCTTTAAAATTGGATATTATTTCTGTTTAACACTTTTTTGAATTTTTAAATTCAAGACTATGGGATTTTTTCCTACAAACATATATAGATTTTTTTTTAAAATCAATAAATTGTAAATCAGTTTTTGGAAAAGAATAATATTTTTGTCGTTAGTAGTTTTTCAGTAGATGCGTAGTACTCAAAGACATTAATGAAATGACGTATCCGGTACAACAGACTTGTTTATTTAAGGGTATTTACTGATAAAAATTATTCTTCTGCTTCTTACACTTTTTCATATTTGAAATTATCATTTTTATATTTTTTTCTCCTTATGGGCATTTTTGTAGAGTTTTATGTTAATTAAACATTTTTTTAATTAGTCTTAAAAATTTAATTTTTAGCTTTCAATTTAATTTTTCAATGAAAAGAAAGTATTTTCAGAGTAAAATTTTGTTGTTCATTACTTTTTTTTATTTAGAGAAGTAAAGATAAATTTTTGTAAAGTGAAAGAAAAGTATATAGAAATTAATATTTTACGCATGTGTTTTACTATATAATAAAACTTTCTTATTCTTTATTTGCTGTTTTCTTTAATATATATTATGCTTTTTTATTTTTGAAAGGACGTTGCATTTATTGGCAATAAAGTATTTCTTTGCAAAAGGTAATGTAAACAAACAAAATCTAGAAATCCTTAAAGTAGAAAGTTGATAATTTTAATTATACGTTGAATAATCAATTCGATATTGAAAATGATCTTTGATAATAAAATTTCCGAAATCTTTTCTGTAATTCTTTTCAAATTGATAATGAACAATCTTATATCTTAATTGCTTAATTTTTTTAAAGTGCTTAATTCTCTTAATCAAGTTCCATTTGCGAACTCTATTAAGTAATAAATTTATCGATCAATTTGAATTAATCAATAGTTTCTTATATTGTTTTTCTTTTCGAATTGTTATTGTAGAATTATTTCATATTTATTTCAAGCGCACTTATTTTAAAAATTTTAATGCTCAAATGAACGAATGTTTGTTGGAAAAAATTATTTTGTTCATTAGCAAAATTATTTCTTAAGTAAATAAAATTGTTTAATTTACGTTATTTTTTATATTTTTTATTTATTTAAATATAAATTTAGTACAAAATTTTAATTTTTCAAAATATTTGAATAGAAGGAAAATGTCTTTCATTTCAACGTTCAGAACTTTAGGAAAATTTGATTTTATCGTATTTTAAAAGATTTTTGATTGAATTGAATAATTGAATATTGTATTTCTTTTTTACAGCACGAAAAGAAGCGTGAACTAGAGACTGCAAAAGTGCATACAATTCAATTAATGTTGGAAAAGGAGCAAAGCTATGTAGACAAACTTCGCAGTGAACTAGCCAAAGTCGGAGCTGGAAACTCCAACAGCATCGCGTCATTACAAACTGAATTAAATGGAGCTGAACGAAGAGTTCGGGTCTTACAAGAAAGACTCAAAGCCGTATCGAACAATGATCATGTACGTATTTGTTTATATTTTCCATATTTTCACAAAAAAGAAAACGGAACTGAATTAAAAAAAAAATCGATTCCTCTTCAAAACCGAACTGGAATTAAAAATCAAATTCCGGTGTCGATAAAAAAATTATCTCATGATTTTTCATTATCCCTTATTAATTATTTCTTATTGAATAAGATAAATTTTCTCTTTTTTTAACAAGAAATTTTTTTTTGTTACGAACTGATACATTACTTTAAACTAGAATCAAATAACATTTTTAATTTTTTTTGTTTTTTTTTGGGTTTGAAATGGAATCAAATATAATTTTTAATTCCGTTCCAGAGTTTGGAAACGAAATATAATTTCCGTTTCAGTTGACAACTACAAGGTTATTAATATTGGTGCGGTTTATTACACGTAAAATTCGAAGGGAGATTTGGCACTTGTAAATAAGCTTTGAAACAATCGTTAAACAATAAACTTTTATTTTAAACACATCACTTTGCTTAATTTTGATGTAGTTCAAGTTTACAATGTTTTAAAATCGAAAAAATATACAAAATCAAAAACTGTTTTTCAAACCTTTGTTTATTGATAATATTGAAAAAATCCAAGTCTGAAATTAAGTAATTTATCATTTTTATTAAATATTAATTTACTGTAAATGGTGTTATTATTTTAAATTTAAATTTACTTACATTAAACGGATTAAAATTATATTTTATCATTAACATTTTTTTATTGTTACTGACTTTTGTAATTATTATAAATGATAGATCAATATTACGCTAATAAAATTCAATGATTAAAATTTTTATTTGGATTTCTTGAGAAAATTGAGTGTCGAAATTGTTATGTTTTGAATGATTGTAAAACTAAGTATATTTATTTCTTACACTGTGTACAAAAATAGGGTCAAATGAGACAACTTTGTGTTAGGAAAGGATTAACATTGCCAAACTTGAGCTACATCTTAAATTTGAAGACTGACTCATCTAACATTATAGACTAGAAATAGATTTATCGGAGATTGTCAAAGGGAGCTAGGGATTTAACAGAGAGCATGAATATTCCCTAAAAAAACTCATTATTTCGAATTTTACAGGGCCCAAACTTTTATTTAGTTAAATTTTATAAAAAAAAATTAGAATTAACATTTAACGGTAATTTTCCAATATAGAATTTTTCAATTAAACGAAGTTTTAAAAATTCCTACGATGGTCAGATTTTCTAAATTATTGATTGATTTATTTCATTTTGATTTAACCGTATTCAAATATTTTTTTTAAAGTTTCAATTTTGCCAATTGTAATATATTATAATTTAGCAAAATTGAAATTTAAAAAAAATGAAAAATTTAAAATTATTATAAATGCAATTTCAACGATCTGGAAAAATTCGCTAGAAAAAATTTTCGTTTTGCAAGTCTTTATGCGCAAAAAACAGATTTTTGTCCTCGCTGTAAAAAAATTGGCAAATTACAACAATAAATTGATATTATTTTGGAATCAATTTTAGGTACTAAACCTTTATTTATTTTATTATAATACCAAAAAACGGCTTTGATTCGAAACTCCTTTGTTCCAATTTGACAATTTTTTACAGTGATAATTGTAAATTATGAACTCATTGAAACAAATTTAAAAACTTTAATATATTTAATATTTTTAAAAATTTATTTTTGAGTTAGACTTTTTTGAAATTAAACAAAAAAATTGAATGTTTGGTTTTAAATCATTTAATTCTCGAAGAACTTTCTGAAAATTATTAAAAATATGTAATTAATTTAGAAAAGAAGTTTAGTTAAAATTTGTAAAAATAGTTGAATATTGGAAGTTACAGTAAACATTTTTAGAAATAATTAAATTTTAAAAGATTAAAATTTTTGGAAACCTAAATTTCGAGTAAATTTACTTAAAAATTATAAAAAAAACTTACACTGCCGTCGGGAAATATCGGTACGGCTGCACAGCTTTAGAATAAATGAAATTACGCAATATTGAATAGAAAACAATTAAATTTTAGACGAATTTTAAGTGTACTTTCTATTTTTTTAAACTAAAACCTATGAAGAACTTTCTAAAATTTATGAAAAATAATTGATTTAGAGAAAAATTTTATTTGAAAATTCTTTAAAATAATTGAATTTTGGAGAAGTTACAATAACAGTGTTTAGAAATAATTAAACTTTAGTAGATTTTAAATAAAAATTATTTGAAGACTTCAACTTATTTTAAAAAATTATTAAACTTTTGTATAAATTTAGTTGAAAAATCTAGAAATTATTTGAATTTTAAAATTACAGTCGTAATTTTTAGAAATAACTAATTTTTTATTATTGAAAGAAATTGTTTGTTTTTAAAAATTTCATCATAATTTTTCAAAGTAACAGTGTTTTTTGAAAAAATTATTTAAAAATAATTAAATTTTATAAAAACTTAGAATTGAAGCTATTATTATTGGAATATAAGTGAATAAAGTTAAAAGAATTTTCTATAAATCATAGAAAAACCAGGAAAATAAAAAATTTAATTTTTGTAGCAACTCTGAATAAAATAAACTACTTTGTCGACTTTTTTCGTATTCACGAATCAACCAAAAAAATTTTTTCGGCGCCCTAAAGTTTTAAAGTTTTAAATTTTTATTTTTAGATGAACTTTTTTCTAATATTCATACAAATACAAAATGCTTAAAAAAATTGAAATTTTAAATCCTTTTTTTTATTTAAAAAGGGAAAATTTTAAGTCTTAAAAAATTATAACCGGTTCTTTGATCTGGACCTACAATTCTTAAATTTTCTTTTTCACCTTATAAAAATCTTATTGAAAAATTATATTTTTGTACTTAAATTATTTAATTCTTGAAGAAATTTCTTAAAATTATTTAATATAATTAACTTAGGAAACTGAAATTTAAAAAATTTTAATTTCTGTGGAAATGTAAATAACAATAAGAACCTATTCAAATATTTATTTAACAAAATTATTAAATTTAGAAATTTTTAGAAAATTAGGATATATATAAGATTAACTTTTTTTTAAACAAAAAAAATTCTCGAGTTAATTGAACAATTTTTTATATTTATTTTATTTATTTACACACATATTTATAAATTGTACACGTTCACTTTTGTAAAAATTGATTGCAATAAATCCTTCATTGGTAATAAAAATTTTTATTTTATTTTGGTTATTCGGAATTTTTTACATTCGGTCCAGCGGCATTCGAGAAATTCGATTCGGGAAAATGACCGGATACCTCAATCACGTATAAAATAAACGACTTTTTAGAAATTTTTTGAACTTTGAATCGGCTAAAACGACTCTCCTGTGCACCTTAAAGTTGATCCGAGGCCTGTTTTTCGAAATGAATTGAAAATATATAATTTTGAAAATTCGAATCAATGATTTTTAGGGAGCATTCATACGTTTTAGTTTAAGAAGGGAGGAAAAAAGTTGTGTAGCAATTAAGTAAAATAAAGAAGGTGTCAGTGTGTTTGTGTACAATTGCGTTTGTTTGTTCGTGTAGGCTTTTTTTAGCTAACATTGTTTAACAATGCTTTTGTGTTGTGTCTTACAGCTTTGCTCGGTAACAAACACTTCATCTTCCCCAAGTCATTTGGCGGTTCTTGACTTACCCTCGAGCAGCCGTTGCTGTGATATACCGCCACCCTTACCTTCCCGAAAATCTCTCTCCATGCAAAGTCTTTCCCCACCCCCACTGCCACCTCGTCCACTACCACCCACTTCAAACACGCACAACACAGTCCAGCTGGAGCGACAACTGCTGTCACATATAATGCCTCCCACCACCGGTCATGGCATACCTTACTCTGTAAGTAGTTTAATCGCTCTCGTGACAGTAACTCTTGTCAAAAAAAGAGGAGAAGAGGAAGAAAAAATTTACATTTTCCACGATTTTATCAGCAAATAAACAGGGGTTAATTACAGAGTTCATAATAGGGGTGCTTGAACAGTTGAAACGTTTTTTAATATTAATAATCATAATAAGAAAAATGGTGTGCTTGATACGATAATCGTGATTCGAGGTGATAACGATCGGCAAGCTTATCTTTATTTTTTATTTATTTACGTATAATTAGTCAATTCTTTTATTTTTCTATTTTTCTATTTTTCTTTTTATTTATTCTTATTATTTAAAATTAAATAACGTTACATGTATAAATAATTAATCATTTTTTTTATTTTTATACTATTTCAATTATTTATTTGTTTGTTTATTTATAGCAGGCCTCGGATATTATGCCTTTTTTCGACTTATTTTCAAACAAAATAACACTTTCTTGATATAAAATAAATTTTAATTATATATAATTAAAATGTTTTGAAGGGGAGACTGCGTTGAAATTTTTAGTTATAGGTATATGAAGTAATTAATTTAAATCTCTGACAGAATCATTGTTGTAAATTGTAATTTTCGAGAGCTCAAAATTTTTAATTTTACCATTTTCAAAGCTGTTTTTTTCGATTAAAAAATATTATTTTTAACATAATTTTTAAAAATTAAAAAACAAAAAATTAATTTACAACTTTTAAAAATATTTTAGAAATTGAATAACATTTTTAAAAACAATAAGAAATAAAAATGGGATAATTACATTGAAATAAGAATTTTTTAACGTTGAACGTAAATAATTTCTAGCAAAAAAATTACTATAAAAATAATTTTCTCAAAGATTTAATCTAATTACTTTATATAGATGAAAATTTTGGCGCTATCTTATCTTAAATAATTTAAATTTTGTAAAATTTAAATAAAAATTAAGTTATTTTTACGTAATTCAATTCAATTAATTAAATTTCTTCAAAAAGTTGATTAATTTTTTAAATTGTTCAAAGATTAAATTATTTCCGAAAATTTTAATTAAAATTCTTCAAAAAATTGATTAGTTTTTTAAATTGTTCAAAAATTGTTTTAAAAAACTCAATTATTTCAGAAAGTTGGATTACAATATTTTAAAAAAAACTATTTCGAATAAAATTGTGTTATCATAATTTTTTAAAATTAAATTATTTAAAAAAAAGTAAATTAAAATTGAAAAAATGAACTATTAAAATTTTGGAGAAAAATTGTTTTTTCATATTTGTAATTACATCTTTTAAAAAACTTGATTATTTTTAATATTTTCCAAAAGTTTTTTAAATAAATTCAATTATTTCTGAAAATTTTTACTAAATTCCAATTATTTAGAAAGTTTTTCAATTCTATATAGGGTAAATGCACTAGTAGTCGGACACTTAAGGATACGATCTAATATTATGCTTTTTTTCTTGAAACAACAAATAACTACTGTATTTATATGCACATTATCAATTAAAGGAGTTCTTCAGGATTAAAAATCATATAAATTTGTTCCAAATACTTGAGTATTTAATAAAATATATGCATTTCAATGAAAAATTACAAATGCTTCAGTAGTCGGACACTTTTTTCTATATTAATATACATAACATTAGTCAAACATTTTTTATTTATAAAGTAAGAAAGATAATTTTTTAATTATTTCCTGCTGGAAAATTGAATTAAAGCTTGTTAGAAGTTAATAATATAATATTTAAATCCTATAATTCATGATATTTATAATTTTAATTATCAACAAAACTTTGTGCTACTCATTGCGCTACTCGAAAATGGTTTGCATCTATAGTCGGACACTATGATTTTTAAAATAATGAATAAAATATTTCTTGGTTAATTATTTTGTAAAATTCTATTTTCCTAAAATAGAAACTTTACACATTCGTCCAGTGTATTCTTTAAAATAAGTAAACTGTCCGACTATACCTGCACTTAGCCAAATTGAAATATTTTTTATCTTTGAAAAATTAGTTAAAAATCTATTTAAAACTATGATTTCAAAATTTGTTTAAAAATAAAATTTTTTCGGTTTATTTTTGTCAATAATTTATATTAATATCTTTTTGAAACAAATCATGAATTATCATATAGTTACAATCATTATAAAAAATTTAATTCTTATATTTAAATAATTAAATTCTTGAAGAACTTTCGGAAAATTATGAAACATTTGATTACTAAAAGAGGTTTAATTAAAAATTCTTGAAAATACTTGAGTATTGGAAGAGTTTTAGTAGAAATTTTTATAGATAATTAAGTTTAAAAAGGTTTCAAATTGAAATTTTTGTAAAAATAAAATTTTTATAACTTGAATTATAAATTGTTTATTTAAATTTTTGTAAAATTAGTTGAATTTCTTAATACATATAATGTTTAATTGAACAATTTTTAAATATACCTATAACAAAAACAATTAAATTTCTGAGTAAACTTTTTTTTTTTGAAAAATTGAATTCTCGAAGAGCTTTCATAAAATTATTAAAAATACTTCATTTAGAGAGGAATTTTAGTTAAAAATTTAAAAGAATAATTGAATTTTGGGAAATTACTGTTGTAACATTTGGAAATAATTTCATTTTAGAAGATTTGAAATTGAAATTTTTTAAATTTTAATGCCTGTAGAAAATTATATACTAATTTTTAAAATATTTACATAACGAAATTATTGCAGTTTTGAATAATTGAATTTAGAAATCAGTGAAAGGTCAGGGAAATTGAAAACGATATTTTTGTGACAGCACTGAATAAAATAAACAACTATTTTGATTTTTTTATCTTTCATAGAGTAAAGCGACTTTTTTTGGACCTTAAAGTCGATCTGAGGACTATTATAGCAATAAACGGGCTACAAGAAAGAAAATTTCGTGCAATACTATAGTTCGTATAGGTTTTTACTTTTTTCGTTCTCAATGCGATTAATTTTTTTTTATTTACTCAGGTATGTGAAGGAAGTTTGCGTCCATTGTGAATAAATACATTTTGTAAATAATAAATCATGGTAAATTCGTTGGTATAAGGTGAAACACATTTTGTAAAAAGAATATCATTAACAATTCACTCAAAATTAAACATTATTCCCTGTACACTACAGTCCTTAGATTCTCTACCATTTTTTATATAATAACATCTGTCATCCAATAACATTTGGTTTTTAGATGAATTACATTTTTTTGCAATTATCGAGTGCAATTGTTTTATTTCAATTCAATTTATTTCTTTTTTTATAGATAATTATATTTAAATAAGTAAATTTTTCATCTCTGCAGATTTTTATCTTTTTTGATTTTTCTATGTATTTTAATTCCCTGTTTAATTAGTATAATAAATTTAATTTAGGTATTAAAATTTATTTATTCAATTAAATATATATTATTTAATTAATTTAATTATTAATTATTTTTAAATATTCTTTTACTTAAAAAAAGAGAAAATTATTCTAATTTTAATATTTTTTCTATTATGAAATATGTTTAATTTGAATTATTGTGAATTTTAATATAATGAATGAGAAAATGTATGGAGTACCTAATAATAATTTGTTTATTATAAATTTTTTCTAAATTAGAATAAAAATTGAATAATGAAAAAAAACTGTATAGTTGTCGCAGGGAGCGCATTTAGGATCGCCAAGTTCACTCAATAAGCATCATCGAACGAAGTCGAGCCCCGAACAATTAAGTACGACGATGATATCGCCCGCGGAAGCCAGTAGATTATTGATTGCTTCGGAATCGATGAAAGATCTCTCTCCTCCGAGACATGGACGTCATAGTGGAATCGACCTGGATGATCCTCCTCACATCACACCTCCAGGAACTCCACCTCCTCCTTATCCTCCCAGTTCTAATAATTCGATATCTTCCGGATTAAACGATGTAAGTTTCAAGGAAACATTTATTCATAATAACTATAATATTTTCTCTGGTGATAAGAATCTCAAAATTTTAAGTTTAGAATTTGTTACTTAAGAACATTTTTTAAAAATTTAAATATTAAATTTAATTGTCAAATTAATTAAAGAAACTTTTCAAAAAATTTAATTCTTGAATTTTGATCATTTATGGAAAATTGAGGGTTCACGTGCAATAAGGGGATACGCATGGAAGTGAAAGTCCCCGCGTACAGCGATTCTGCGGCTGCGCGAGGGGTTAACGAAAAGCCTGCGCGTCCCCTTATTGCCCGTGAACCCTCAATTATTTTATTTCTAATCACATTTTTTAAGAAATGTTTATTTCAATTTAAAAACAGTTAATTAGCTTTTTTGTTAAAACGAGTTTTTTAACTAATACTTTGTAATAAAAATACGGAAATACGTATTTAGGTCCTTTTATTACAAAATTATTAATTTTTTCAATTAAATTAGATGTTTATTGTCAAGTTTATTTTTTTATTTTATTATTAAGTTAAATAAATAAAATTGATATTAAATTAAAATTATAATATTGATATTAAGAACTGTCAAAATCTCGGTTACTTAACTAAATTATATAGTTTAGTAATTAAAAATAAATTAAAAACCGTATAAATACTTTGTTTTAAATATCGAAATTTCGAATATCGAAATTTTTAAATATCGAAATTTGTAGATATAATAATTATTCTTTATTAAAAATTATATTTAAAAGATTGTGGATGAACATTTTTAATGAAATGAAAAAAATCGCCAATAAAAAAAAATCTTTTCTAATTTTAATAGCTGGATTTTTTATTTTAGAAATATTTTTGTTCAAATTTTTTTTTTCTAAATTCTGTATTTCTAAAATCTTTTTTCTTTATTAAAAAAAAATCTTTTTCATTATTTGAAAAAAGTATTAATGACTAATTTTGTGAAAAACAAATTGAATCAAACGAAATTAATAAAATATGTCAACGATAAAGAGTTGTGAATATATTTTTCATTAACTTATGTGCTAATGCTGCGTTTCTTATTTTTAGAGCTACAGTTTTTTGACGACGTCGTCACCGAAACATAATGCGAGTCTTGGCGAAAGCAGTCCTGGTCTTCCAACTGTTCAAAAACCAATTATATCGATGGAAGATGACGATATGAGTGATCAAGAAGTGGTAAGGATTTATTTCATTTATCAACAAAATATATATAATTTTTTATAAACAATTTCTCCTGTTTTTCTTTGCAAAATTTTTGTACTTTTTTTATTCTAATCGATAGAATTTCATTTTAACTGAAAATTTAGAAAATTGTAGAAAATGTTTTTTTTTTAAATGAAAAATTTGTTTTTACATTTGAGTTACTTTTAAGAAAATCGAATATCATTTATTTATATGAACGTGAGTTAAAAAAAATCTAATTTATTTTTTAATATTTCTAAAAGAAAAATATTTTTTAATTAATATAATCCAGTGATTAAACTCCTAATAGTAATTAAAAAAAATCGGTTCATTAATTTCAAAATGTATAGTTTATCTTCGATGTGAAGGAAAATTTTTTATGTGTTTGGGGATTGTTGTTCTTTCTGAAAAATTTGATGAGGATGAACTAAACAAACTCGGAGAAGGATTTCTTGTGTGATCTTCATTTTTCATTTGACATAAAGTACTGAAACAAAATTTATTTCAAAAATAATTCATATTTAACATGAAATTATTTTTGTATTGGGTCATAAAGATTTGATGAATTTAATATTACTGGTTAATAATATATGTAATTGATTATTTTAGAATATTTTTAAAGAGCAATGCTTATGATTAATTATTTAAATAGTTGAGTAATTTTGTAAATAATACGATAAATTTTTAATTATCAAACGCAATTTGCCTTTTCTTTCAACGCTGATGCACGTGAGCATAGAGTCATCATCGCCTTAGAATTTTGTATTTCATAAATCTTTCGCTGAGATGATTCCATTTCTGCTTCCAGTTCCTGAAGTCGTTTTTGTAAAACTCTATTAGCTTCACATTTTCTTTTGTACTCATCTTTTATAAAAGCGTATTTCGTTTCCTATAAATGCATTTTTTTTAAATCATTTTATTAGAATTTTATCTACATAATTAATATACAATAATAATTTAATTTTTTTAAATTTAATAATAAAAAATCATTTAATAAGTACGAAACAATATTATAATCCAAATGGCTTGTATTGAGGCATGCATTGATGTAAACAAATAGTAAACAAACTGTTCTTCATAGCTCACTATTAATTAGTGTCTCTTCTGGCTTTAAATTGTACATACCATTCGAAATGAGTAACGAAAATTTTATTCAAAAATAGAAAATCGATTTTTATGCGGCGGTTAATTTTTTTTTAAAATCAATTTTGGTACTCCCGCAACTTCTAAAATGTCATATCTTTTCAACCTTCTGTACTTAAGGCTACTTTTTACTCCATTTAATTTTCCACTTTTCACATCCTTTAAAATATCATCATATTTCTCTTGCACAATTATTTTATAATTTGCAGATTTATTTACCGCCGCATAAAAATCGCTTTTCCATTTTTGAATAAAATTTTCGTTACTCATTTCGAATGGTATGTTTAATTTAAAGTCAGAAGAGACACTAATTAATAGTGAGCTATGAAGAACAGTTTGTTTACTATTTGTTTACATCAATGCATGCCTCAATACAAGCCATTTGGTAAATTGAAAAAGAAATTCTTTCAACTAAGACTATTTTCTTATGATCAATTGCGTCATAGTAATATTTTTTGCAATAAATTTAATTTAATTCAATTTAGTTTGATTTTCAATTTGCCTAAAACGGCCTTGGCAAAACCCGAATTGCCTAGGGAAATCGGGTTTTGCCTAGGCAATTCGGGTTTGGCCTATGAATCTCTAGGAAATTCGGGTATTTCCTAAAATCATAGGCAAAACCTGAATTTCCTAGGCAATTCGGGTTTTGCCTGGACTTCGGGTTTTGCCGGTAACATATATATGGCTTTCGGCATTTGGAAAATAATACAAATTTTTGTTTTTAAATATTTAAATAATTAAAAATGAACTTTTTTTATTTTTTATTGATTAAGATAATAATAAATCAATTAAAATAGTTAAATACTCAAGTTAATAATAAATTTTACAAATTTGAAAATAATTACTTATTTTTGTTTTCATTTTGTTTAAAAATAAATAAATTATTTATTTATAAGTATAATTGTTAATTTTATGAAATAATTATTTGTAAAATAAACAAAAATATATGGTTTTAATTTATATTTTTCAGGGTCAATTGGAAGATCACGGTCCGTTTAAATATCTTTCCAAATTATGGGGGCATCACGCACATCTTGCAGTTTTTATAAATTATGTTTTGTCCACTAACGATCTCTCCAGTTTGGTAAGTTGAAACTGTTTCTTTTTTATTCTTCACTTCAGTTTTGAACGTTCAAATGAACGGAATTTATTAATTTGTTCTTCAAATTAAATTTTTATTGCAATAATTTTGTGTCACTTAACAAAAATATTAATTAAAATTGTTTCCAATTGTTAAATTTCAGTTTTTATTTTTTATTGCAAAGAATAGTTTATGCAAATTTTTTTAATAAAAAATATTTCGTTCATTTGAATGTTCAAAACTTGTGGATCATGTTCACTTTTTTCATAATACGTTTTTCCTTTTACAATTATTCAATTTAAAATCTATATTGTTTACTTTTTTAAACTTGTTGATTAGTTTTTAAAAATAACTTTTAACTATTTAATTAATAACGTATAGTAATTTTTTCTGATGGTTATTTTATTTAATACCTAACTATAAAAATTATTATCTCTTTTTTCTAAATTTATTGCTAAGTTCTTTAACCCTAGAAGGAGTACGTTAATTTACTCACCCTCTAAGGAGTAACTGGGGTGTCCCGACACCCCACGCTTTAAACTTGTTTTATAAGGTTTCTATTTGACGTAAAAAAATTTTTTTATAATGAATTGATTGGTTTTTTTAGTAAGGAATACAATAATATTGTTTATACTTTGATAAATTAAAAAAAATTTGAAAAAAAACCGTAAAAACCCAAAACAAATACCAAAAAATTGCAAAATTGACTTTTTTTTACAAAAAACGTTGTAGTTTCTTAAGAATTTGACTAATTTAAAAACTATTTTAGGTTTTTAAAGTTAAATAGATACACTTTTAGGGGAAAAAATTAGTTTTTGTATTAGTTCCAAAAAACATAATTATTTGAACATCTGAAGTGAAAGAAATTAAAGACAATTGACGAATAGTGAAAATCATAAAAATGGACTTAAACAATTAATATTTACTAAAAATGGTGTTATAAATTTAAAATTTTACAAACTTAATATATCTGAATACATTAACATTAAAATTAATAACTTATGAAATGATTCTGTAAATTAATATTTAATCAAAGTTTTAATTATCAATTCTTAATACCTCTAATATATGTTAAAATATTATTAACAATATAGAATTTATAATTTAAATTTGACTGTCATATACTACATTTTTCTGTATTAGAATTTAATTTCTGACTGTAGAGAGAGCACAGAAATTTTTAATAAATCTTAACTCAAATTTCATAAGTTGTTACAAATACAGAATTTCTATTTTTCATAAAAATAGAATTTTTGTATAAAAATGTTTCTTTTTTATAAAATACAACTTTTTCATGCATAACCTATCAATTTATACTTTATTAGATGTTTTTAACTGATTAAAAACGATTTTTTAAAAAAATTTGAATTTACTTATCTTGACAATTTTTCTAACGTTAGGGAGTAACTGGGGTGTCCAGACACCCCAGACGTATTTTAGCAGGAGATAGAGCTCTTCCTAGAGCAAAACTTTTGGCGGCACATACAGGTGTCAAAAGATATGGGTTTAAACTAAATTATCAACGGGTTTTGAGCGTAAAAAAATTATTGGTTAAGCCATGGGAATACTTTGAATTTTGCTTGGGGTGTCCAGACACCCCAGTTACTCCTTCTAGGGTTAATAATAATTTTTTAAAACTTTATTTAATAACAATAATAATTTGTTGTCAACATTATTTCATTGAATAGCTACAATCATTATTTCTTTTTTTAAATTTGTTACTAAGATTTTTATAATTAATTTCTTTCTCACAGTTTTATTTAAAATTATAAATATTATTTGTTGTTAAATTTTTTTTAACTTATTGTTAAAAATACTTTTTTATTATTAAAGTTATTTTGTTTAATAATAATAATTTGTTATTGTTTTCTTCAGTGTATACCCTTTTTAGGTTCTTACACATACTTTAGTTAATAACTAAAATTATTTATAAATAGAGATGATAACATCGATAATATCATCTCTATTATTAAATACCGCTGAATGATAAATTCAAAATAATACTGTAACTATTTTTTTTTAATTTAGATATTAATAACTTTTCTTAAGGGGTTATAGACAGTCACGATTTTTAAAAAATCGATTATTTTTTTTGCATCTTCTTAAAGTATATATATTTGCCTGTTGTGAAAAAAAATTTTATTAAGATTCGAGAAATATTTTCGAAGTTGCAGACAAAACTAGAAACGCGCGCCGCGGGGTGTAGAGTAGGTGCAGCGTCTTTAAGGGGTTCTATACAGTCACGATTGCATTTTCTTAAGATATATATATTTGCCTATTGTGAAAAAATTTTTTATTAAGATTCGAGAAATATTTTCGAAGTTGTAGAGAAAACTAGAAAGGCGCGCCATGGGGTGTAGAGCAGGTGCAGCGTCTTTAAACTCGCTTTTCTCAAAACTATGTTTTTCAAGTCGGTGAACACGATTTCTCAAAAACCGTTGAAAAATTAAAATTATAATTTTAATCAACATTTGAAGACGATTTTTTTCTTCATAAAAATGAACTTTTTTTTTCTTTGGCTGCCATTTTGTCAAAAAGTGATATTTTTTAATTCCAACGATCAAAGACTACATTTTTTCATACATTAACAGAATCTATTTAACTTTTTGATCTCAGATGATTCTATCAATTGTTATCTTGTTCACCGCGGGGCACTTTTTTTCGTGGATCTTTGGGAGATAAGCTACAGACGCCAAAAAAAATAATATTTTTACAAATGAAATATATTTTTTTAAACTTTAAAAGATGTAAAACATTGTAGGAAAACTTTCGCTTTAATAAGTTAATATTCCTTTTTAAAAAAAAATCCTGAAAAACTGCATTTTTCCGACCGCCTGACTGTATATAACCCCTTAAGAAATGATATGTTTTTACAGTTATTTTATTTAATAACGGATCTGTACAAAGAAGGGAATGCAAAGGAAATGCGAAAATGGGCATATGAGATACACTCTAGTTTTCTCGTTCCTGGCGCTGTAAGTATTTTCAAATATAATTAATTGAGTTATTTATTTACATATGTATTCCGCAGTATTTAATAGAATCAATGTGTATAATAGAATCAAATTTAATTTATTATATGCAAATATGTAAATTTTTATTTTAAATATTATTCATTTTTATTTATTAATTTCTTTTTATTATATTAAAACAATTAAAATATAAAACACTAAATGTGTAATAAAATATTTCTGGATATTTATTAAATGATAATTCATAATTAATTAATAAAAACATTAATCTATAATAGGGTCAGAATTTTTAAAACTGATCATCTAAGATTAAACAATTTTATTTTTCAATATAGAATAGATTTTTTTACTTCTTTTGAGATCGAAAAAACTATAAAAATCTATTCTTCATTGAAAAATAAAATTATTATTAAATAAATTCGAACGTTATACGTTTGAAAAATCCTGACTCAATATAGAATCTTTAATTAATTTTATTTTTAATATAGAATATTAAAATACTTTTTTTCCCATTAACAGCCTCTTCGTCTAAACAATGTGGACGAAAATGTTGCGCGCGAAATTGATGACGTTCTTTTAAAGGAGTCTGATAAAGAAGAGATTCTAAGAAAGGTATGTATAATTTTTATTGTGTATTTACTTTGATATTATATATTAATATTACTTGTAAATAAATGAATAAAATCATTAATTTGAAATAATAATTTCTTACATATAAACTTTTAATGAAAATATTACAATTGTTTCCAATTTTTTCAAGAAATTAATTTTATCCTTTTTCTGTTTTTTCTCCTTTTTAATTTTTTTCTTATGACAATTTGAATATTTATAAAGAGAAAAAATTATAATTTAAATAAAAGCTTTATAGCTTTTTTTAATAAATAATAATTACAAAACTAATTAAAAATCGTTGCAGATCTTTTGGAAAGCAAGAGCCAGAGCCAAGGAAGAATTAAACGAGCAACTCGCTGATTTTCAAGTAAAAAGAATTGCAGGTTTAGGAACATTATTTGGACCCTGCGATCCTGAACTTGATGAAAGTAAATCAGATAAAAGTCGAGAAATTAAAATTATCGAGAAATATCTTTTACCAAAAGTTGAAGCATATTTGTAAGTATTTTTTTTATAAGAAAACACTTTTCGTTTCTTTGACTTTTTTTTCTTGCTTTCTACCTGAATTATTTCTTCCAAACAATAATTTGCTTCTATTTTTGCTTTTCTTGCAGAGAGGACATAGAGAAAGAGAATGTTGATTTACGTCAATTTTTAACAGCTGCAGGTTTAGCAACAGTATTGACTAAAATATTTCAAATTCGGCCAGTGTCCATTGAACGAGTCCCAATATTCGTCGCTAAAGATAAAACAAATATTAAAGCGCGACTGCTCACGGGAAAATCGCGAAAAATGACCATCAGAGGTCATCATTTTATAGCTCATCAATATTTTACTGTAGATTATTGTAATCACTGCCAGAATATTATCTGTGGAATTGGACCTCAGGGATATCAGTGCAATAGTAAGAAAATTATTTAAATCTTACGTTTCTCTTGTTAATTAAATTAACGATTTTAATTCTCTAATTAAATTTAACATTTTTTTCAATTTAATAACCATTCACTTTTATCTTCTATTTATCTTTTTATTCTCTTTTTTTTATATTTTATTTTTGTTTTACTATTTTTTTGTAATATACTTCTTTAACATCCGAGTGTTAAGTCCATAATAAAAATAACGAAACTTTCGGGGAGTCAAAAATTAAATAATTAAATAATAATTAATAAAATTTTGTAATAAAGATTAGACTGACATTTAAATTGAATTCTTATTTATTCTTTTTTATTTAAGTCAGTTTTTTTTAGTAAAAATTGTACTGAGAATTATTTAATTTAAATTGAATTCTTATTCTTTACTAATTTCTTGACAGATTGCACTCTCAATGTACATCGTCAGTGCGTTCGAGTTGTCGAGGAAAATTGTACCGGTCCTTTAGTTCGAAAGGAAAAGGGAAACGATCGTATCAGCAAATTCATGGAACGTATTCGTCCTGAACGGAAACCACCCTCACATCATCATCACCATCACAATCAAAATCACATGCATTTCAGTAAGTTTTAGAGAACTTTCATTTTGAAAAAAGATTATTTTTACAAAAAAGGAATTTAAAGTTTCATGTTTTATTCGAATTTGAATAATGTGTTTTAAGTAGAACTTGTGTTCATTTCAGTCGAACGTATCAAAAGGTCAGAAGAAGAAGCTACGTTAACTGACGGTGAAAACGGTGAGTTTTTCCTTTAAAAAAAAACTTTTTTTTCTATTTTAAAATTTTTCGTAAAATTCTGGAAAAAATGGAAATAATTACGAAACACGTTCTTGGTATTTTTAGTAAATTTCAATGTTTTTCTCCACAATTAATTTAAAAATAATGAAAGAAGAGTTTCAACACTGATAATACTTTTCTTTTTTTGTTGTTGCTGAAATGTTTGATAATTAATTTTGATTGGACCTTTCTCTCTCTACACCTATTTTCTTCGATTCGTCATCAAAATTTATGACGCCGAGTTATTATCAGAATATTGAGCATGCCTCGAGTATATATACATTATAGAGCGTCGTGATAGAGGGAAATGCGCGTTTGATTTTTACCGCTGTTGCACTGATTCTGCTCGTGTTGTTCATAAATTTCAACCTCTCAAGGACGTGTAAGATGCTCTCAACAAGCACCACATGTTCTTTAATATACCGTATTTTCATCGTTTACGTCATGTTCAACTACATAGAAGATTCGCTGTTGAAAAAAAAATTTTTTTTCCCAAACATCTGCTACCAATCCACTAATATAGAAAAAAACAAGATTGTCGCAAATTTTAATCATCGTCCGTTGATTTTTATAGCTCATCGACTATTTTGCTGTTGATATTTTTAGTGCCTCTGACATGATGCAATTAGTTTTTTCTTTAAAAAGATTTTAATGAATTTTCATTTAATACTATGTATATTGAAATGAAATTTTTTTTTATTTTAAAATAAAAATCACAATTTGTATTTTTAGAAAATAAAAAAAGGACTTTAATTATGGAGAGAGTATCTATTTTAATTACGAAAAAAATACAAATTTCGATTATAGAGTGAAAAGTTTATACGTAATAATAAATAAATTGTAAATTTAATTAAATTGTGATTTTTAATTTCTCTTAAAAATATGATTTTTATTTTATAAAGAAATTTGTAATTTATATTATATATATATTTGCATGTAAATTACAACATTTTTTATTGTCCAATATAAACTTCAATTTTGAAATCATTTCAGATTAAAAATTACATAATATTATTAGTACATAATTATTATTGTTTATTAATTTCAAAAATTTTAATAAAATTCTTCGCAACAATTAAATTATTTTCATAAATAGTAACATTTATCGGAAGAATTCAATTATTTTTATAAATAGTAAATTTCTTTGCAGGAATTCAATTATTTTTAATGCAATTTTAATAAAATTTCATGAAAGAATCCAATTAAATTGAAAAATTTTTAGTAAAGTTTTCCAAATGAATTCAATTATTTTCTACAATTTTAATTAATTCTTCAAAACAATTCAATTATTGTTGTACATAGTAAAATTCTTGGCAAGAATCAAATTCTTTTCATAAATAATAAAATTCTTAGGAATTCAATTATTTTGAATACAATTTTTATGAAATTTAATAATGAAATTTTTAATTATAATTTTAAACAGATACGATTATTTTGAAATGTCGAAAAAACTTCTTTGTTTAATTCAATTACTTTCAAAGTTTTCAATTGAGATTATTAAAAAAATACATTATTTTCAAAAAACTTAAAGAAATTCTTGAAACGAATTTAATTATTTTCTAAAAATTCTAATACAATTTAACAATCGAATGTTTGATTTCAATTATTAACAAACATGATTATTTCAAAAACTTTAAAGAAATTCTTCTTAAAATTCAATTTTATTATTAAAGCTTTATTTAAAAAAAAGTTAAAATTTAAATTTATATGTTTTGGCTCTTGGTATATAAAAATAATTATACCTAAGTAGTGCAAGTTTTAGTTAAACGAATTATCTTTTTTGAATGAATGATTTCTGTATTTAAGAGCACTAATTTAATTTAATATTAAAAAGGACAAATTGAAGAATAGCTTGTAATTTGGAATCGAAAACAAAAATAAATCTTTCGCTCGTCTGGAAACAAAATATAAAATTATAACAAAAAGAAATCAAAATTATAAAGAAGGAAAAAGAGAATTAGAAACAAATTAAATTTATTTATAATGATTAATTTTATTTGTTTGTAATAATTATTAAAACAGTAATAATTATTGAAAGAATAATTATTTTAATAGTAATTATTAGTGACAAGTGTTTATTTGATAAAAGTTAAGGAGCCGAACACTAAAATAAATTTATTCAGTGTCATTTTTCTTCCATTTTTTTTTTTCAGAAAAATTGTTATATGGGTTAAATAGTTTGAAATCCACGTTTTAGAAATGCGTCGTTGAATCGATGATTTTTCACAATTAACGGAAATCCCTATCAGCTTAATATAAAAGCCATTAGATAAGTTGATTTTCAAGGTCTCTTCCTTCTCTAAGATTATTAATTTTCATGAGGAGAACTTTATGGCTCTGATGGTCACGTACGTGACTCTTTTAAAAGGCAGGTTTTTTTACGCCAATTGTACGAGTGCGTGAATAAGAGAACAAAAGATTTCATTGACCCCTTCAACAATCATTAGAATTATCGACAGAAATTATACTTGGTTGAATGATTTTTTTTCTTCATTTTTCAACATAATTTGAAACAAAGAAAATTATTATAGGCTATTATAGGCGTTGCTAAAAACCAAACGGAGCGATGAAAATCGAAAAACAATTCAATTATATTACGAAAAAAAGCAATCATGGAAATATTTCATTTTAGGTACTTTTTTATTTTAATTCTTCACTTTTTAACTTTCGCTTTTATTTACATTTATCGTTCCATATTTTGTTAAATTTGTTTTTTTTTTAAATTTGTATTTATAATTAATTATACTCGAAATTCGAATTTAATTAGTAAATTAAATAATTAGTGTATTGAGAATGTCGAATAAGAATAATTTTGGAAAATAATAAATTCAGAATGTAGTGTTTGAGTTATTTATTATGATAATTTTTGTAGGGAAATTAATTATTTTCAATAAAATGACAATAATATTATTTAATCGGATGTCACGTTTTTACAAGAATATTTATTTATTTTTATTTTCTCTTACGGCCCTGACGCAACGCTATACACAGTAATATCATAAGTTTATCGGCAACGTCCTGCTGAACTCGACAGAATTAAGCTAATGAGACACTGACGTTCACAGGCATCGTACCACAAGTTTCGTTTGTCGTCTGAAAAGTTTTTCGATTTTCTTCTCCCAACTCGCGCGCGCGCTATTAATTTCAATATACAAAACCAAAGTCTTAGTTTTTGTTTGTCTTTTGAAAATTTTTCACTAGTGTAATTTTTTTTCCTACTGTTTTTCCCCGAGAAGAATTAAATTTCCGATTTGAAACAAGATAATGAAAATAAAATTTTTCAATTTTAGTTAATAATAAAAGATTGTGTAAACCAGTGAGGGGGAGGGGGAGACAAAAAATGTCTAGTAGAAGTGAAATTATTTTTTCAAAATCAATTTGTTTTTAAAGTGAAAAATATTTTTAGTGATTACGTTTGGTATTTTTAAAAATGTAATTAATATTGGAGATAAGAAATATCGAAAGATAATCGTTTTATATATTCGATATTAATTTTATCAGTCGAAAGGAAATTTCTGTTCCGTTTGTATTAAAATTAATTTAGATTTTTATTTTTTTATTCTGTTTTCTAAAAAATAAAAATTTTTCCCGAAATCTAAATGTTTCAATTGAAAAAAAATTTTGTTTCTATTCAATTAGAAAATATGTATTTTATTCGCTTTTCTCGACGAGTTCGTTAACTTTTCCGTGTGTCTGTCGGAATCACAAAGAGCGTAGGCACTTATCGAGTATTAAACGCGCAACAATTAACAGCTCGAGAGAGTCTTGTTTAACAATAGATTATATCTGAGTGCAAAATTCGATACGAATGTGGGAGAGTATACCGTCCTCGTTTCGCGCTTCTTTGATAGCAAACTTGGAGAAGTGTATGTGGTGTAGAGGAAAAAAAATTGAAGAAAAAAGAGAAAAGAAAGAGAAGAAAAGAGAGAAGCGAGTGGAAGTTTGGTGGGAGACCGGAAGTTGAATATACGGTGGGAAGGAAGCAAATCGCTTTAGGAGAAATTAGTGAAGCCAGTTGATAGACGCAACGAGACGAAGTAACTGTGAAGGTCGCAGATGTTGGAATTACAAATTCAGGACCCCTTGGATGGGGGTAACAACACTCCCAGCAAATGTTCGCCGGTGGTCAGCAATTTCGGGAGCTTGAAATTCAACTCCGAAAGATACAGAAATAAATTTCACCGAAAAATCAAAATCGATGGTAAATGAGAGGAATTACTCTGAATCTCGGCACAATAAGTGATCCCAGTTTTTTGAAAAACGAAAAGTGAAATTTCATTTTCAATTTTTATTTCTAAAAAAGCAAAAAGTGAAATTTTTATTTTTTCAGAAAGTAAAAAGTATTTTTCAAAAAGATTGAGTGTTTTGAGAAAAAAAGTGAAAGAAGAGAAAAGTGAATTCTCCCCTCTGTTAAGTAGGTTTTATTTTTCTTTAGAAAATTTATTATATTTTCAATTTAAATTTTCTTTTTTGTCTAAATTCGAAAATATTAAATTACTTATTTTTCTATTTTATCAGGGTTGCCACAAAAATTTAATTTTTTTTCCCAGATTTCCAGAAAAAATTCTTACTTTTTCCCTGACCCCAAAGAATATTCTGGTTCACTCATAAATTGTTATATAATATTACAAAATAAAAACTTCAAATAATATAAAAAAAAATTCAATTAAACTTTTTCAAAAAAAAATTAATTCCACAGAATTGTCAGTAAAAATTATAAAAAATCCAGATTTTTAAATATTTTAATTTGAAATCTTTTCAAAATTCAATTATTTCTAAAACTTTACGCTATAATGTTTTTAATATTCAATTATTATTTAAAATGTTAACTGAAATTAATTTTTAAATCGATTTTTATTGAAAAACTAGCCAAATTATCCGCGCGCAAGCGCGCGGGAATGTTCTATTGCACTGTTTATTGTAAAAAATTTCAAGTAATTTTAATTTAAGTAATAATTAAATAATTAATTTTCACTAATAATAAAATCTTTCATGATAATTCAATTTTTAAAAAAAATTTTGATTAAATTCTTGACATGAATCTAATTATTTTCATAAATAATAAAACTTATCGAATGATTTCAATTATTTTTAATACTATTTTAAATTAATAATCGAAAGATTCAGTTATTTTTACAAATAAAGTTTTCCACTAGAATTCAATTATTTAAACTAATAAAATTTTCATAATATTTATTATATTTCGAAAAAATTAATTATTTAAAACAATGTTCATAAAATTCTTATGAAGAATTCAATTACTTTAAAAAATAATAAATATTTTTTACAGAAATTCAATTCTTTTTAAACATTTTAATAAACTTTTCCGCAATAATTCAATTATTTTCAAAAATAATAAAATTCTTCTATGAAATTCAATTATTTTTGAGAGTTATAATAAAATTCTTAGCAACTATTCAATTATTTTCATAAATAATAAAATTCATAGCAGGATTTCAATTATTTTTAATACAATTTTACAGTAATTATTTTTAAAAACTTAATTTCAATTCCACGAAAAAATCAATTATTTAAAAAAATGTTTTTTAATATTTTTTGGAAGGATTGAATAATTATTTTCAAAAATTTAATAAAATTGTTCGAAAGAAATTAATTGTTTTAAATACAATTTTAATTAAATAATTCAATTATTTTTAAAAATTTTAACAATATTTTTTCTAAGAATTCAATTATGTCGATAAATAAGAACATTACTCCCGAAAATGCAATTATTTTGAGGTATTTTAATAAAATTCTTTTCAGAATTCAATTATTTTCATAAATAAGAATATTCATCACAATAACTCAATTATTTTTAAAAATAATAATTTTATTCTTGGAATTACATTATTTTAAAAAAATTCTAATAAATCGTTCACAAGAATTCAATTATTTTCAAAAAAGTTTAATAAAATTTCCAAACATTCAATTATTTATTGACAAATTTTTTAATTGAATTCTTTGTAAAATTTAATTATCATTAAAAACTTTTCGCAATTCAATGATTTTCAATATCTACTATTATCATAAAATTTCCAAACAGAATTCAATTATTTAAAAAATGGTTTGTAAAAAGTTTCGTAAGAATTCAATTCAATTTTTATAAATATTAAAATTCTTTGATGAATAATAAAATTCGTTGCAGGAATTCAATTTATTGAAAGGATGAGAAAAAAGTAAATATTTTTGATGAAAATTAGGAAAAAGTCAGGAAAACAAAAAATATGGAATGGAATTTTTTTCAATTTTGTGAAGTGAATAAAACGAGTTTTTTTTGACATTGAAAAAAAATGACAATAACCCACAAAAATTAATTTTTGCTAACGGAAAGGAAACTTACGATTATTATAATGTATTCTACGAGAATTCAATTGTTTGAATACAAAAATAAATAATTTATTAAATAATTGAATTCTTTTGACTACTTTTAATAAAATTTTTAAGGATAATTACATTTTTCGAGGAATTTCATTATAAAATTGTAATAAAAATAATTGAAATTCTGCAATGAGGTTTATTATTTATGAAAATAATTGAATTTCTGTAAAAAATTTTATTATTTATGAAAATAATGGAATTATTGCTAAAAAATTTGTAAATAATTGAATTCTTTTGGAAAATTTTATTAAAATAGACATTGAAAATTATTGAATTGAGGAAAATTTTTGAAAATAATTGAAATTTTGCCAAGAATTTTATTAAAATTTTTGAAATTAATTATATTTTAAAGAATTTTATTATTTATAAAGATAATTGACATTTTAAATAGAATTTAAAAATTTTTTTGAACATAATTAAATCCCTGACTTTTCCTTGAATTCTCTGACCTGTGGCAACCCTGTTTATGTAAAGAATATAAAACTTTTTTTTTTGAATGACGAACATTTGAACTATTTATATATTTTTTTATTGAAAAACTGATCTATTATAATTTTTTTATTTAATGAAATTAAGGAAGAAACTGACGGACAGTCAGAATAAAAGTTAGTTCAATGTTTTGTCGTTTTTTAAAAGAAAAAGTCAAATTGAATTTTTAATTTCTTTTGTCAATAAGAAATATTTGTTAAATATTAGATTATGTTACCTAGTCGTTTCTTATTGACAGAAAATTGTAATTTTTATTCAAGTGCAACTTTTAAATTCTTTATACAATTCTATCTAAACGAATTTAAGTTTTTCTTTTAAAATACGAAATTACAATATATATTCGAATAACTTTCGTTCCGTTTGTTTGTCGTGTATTCCTATGTTTTTAATGTATTTTTTTCTTGCATTCAGATTTTGTAAATAATTAAAAAATTTCATTACGTTTATTGTCAATATTTTCATTTCTTGTAAATTTTGATTTAAATTACGGAACTAATTGTCACTATAAAAGTAAATTATTTTTCTTTCGCGCTTATTATAAATTTTTTTTGTTTGGTTTCTTTTCTCCTTTTCTCATTATCTCATTATTATTTTTTATGTAAGTAAAAATAAGAGAATGTAATTTCGTTTCAAATTAAATGTTTTTAAAGAATTGAAAAGAATAAAGAATGAAAGGTTCTGCTTTCTCGTCAGGTCCCAGACAATTTGAATTTAATGGCTTGAATGTGAGGTTTTGCTTAGAGAGGAAATTGAATAGGTTCCGGGCCTTTTCACTGGGTTACAGCCCTTGACTAATGCAAATGATATCAAGTATACTTTTTGCACAAGCACCTTGTTTCTTATTGATTTTTTTAACGCTGCTGTATATCAAATTTCTTAGGCATGCTGTTTTTTAAATGCGTAACTCTTTTTGTAGTATTTTTAACAATTTTTTATTTTTGCAAAACGAATTATTAAAAAATACCTATTTTTTTACAAATCTCGACATGTTCATAATTATTTATTTACCGGCATTGATTGATTAATCATAATAATAATATTGATTTTTTCTCTAATTACAATTAAATAAAAATAATTGTAACTTACGATAATTAATTTTTTTTTATTTTCAAAAATATTTTTAATTAAATTGAGAGGAAGTAAAGAATGTTCTTTATTTTTTAAACAATTGTTATTTTAATTTTTATTAAGATTGATAAAGTATTTGTCGGGATTAAAAAAAATATTTAGAATAAATTTTCATTATTTATAATTCTTTTGCCTTGATGACGTCTTGATGACTCAAAAGAATAACAAAATTATTGTTTTGCTTGACATTTGGTGTATTTTTGCCCCAATAAATACATATTATCTCATCGACTAAAACTTACAAAGTTGCGTAATATTTAAATTTTAATTTATTAAGAATGCGGGAAAATTTAAATGGATTTTTACTGACACCTGTAGAATTTATTTTACATATACGATTTCGATAATTTCAAACGAATTATTATTTTCTTTTTCCCTTCACTTTTAATATCTACTATTAATATATATTCATTTTAATTAATAACTTAATTCGTTTTATTGAAAATTAAATCTAGAGATTAAGCAAATTGGAAATCAAATTATTACTGAGTTGCGAAAAAATCTAATTTAATCTGACTTGATTTTTCGATTTTTCGTATTAGTAAATAAATTTACGTATTGAATAATTATATAAATAAAGATTTATTTTTCTAAAATTTACGAAATTATTTCATTTAATTGCAAAAGAGTTATAAAATAGGAAAATATTTCAAAATCAATCTATTGGAAAAGTCAGGGATTTTTATTAAAGTACTGGAAAAAATTGAATTTTTAGGAAGTTACAAATCATTGCAGAAATTCGATTATTTTCAAAAATTTTCTTCAATTCAATGATTTTCAATATCTACTATTTTAATAAAATTTTTCAAAAGAATTCAATTATTAAAAAAAAGGTTGATAAAATTCTAAGCAAACGTTAAATTATTTTCATAAATAATAAAAATTTCTCAGGAGTCCAAATATTTACAAAGTTTTTATAAATTTCTTCGCAATAATTCCATTATTTTAATAAAAAATAATATTTTTTACACAGATTCAATTATTTTCAATGAATAATACAATTTTTACAAGGATTCAATTATTTTTATAAATAATAAAATTCTTTTTAGGAATTCAATTATTTTCATAAATAATAAAATTCTTTTTAGGAATTCAATTATTTTCATAAAAAATAAAATTCTTTTTAGGAATTCAATTATTTTTAATAAAATTGTAATAAAATTCCTTGAAAAAATTAAATTATTCTTAAAAATTTTATTAAAACTCGTCGAAAGAATTCAATTATTTTAAAATTTGTTGATAAAATTCGTTATGAGAATTCAATTTTAAGAAACATTCAATTATTATTCAATCGATTTAATAAATTTATTTTTGTATTCAAACAATTGAATTCTCGTACAATTTTCTAATAAAAATTGAGTTAAAAATGAATTTTAGTTGAAATTTTAGATAATATGATCCTAAAGTTCTGAACGTTCAAATGAACGAAATTTATTTATTTTCTTCTTTAATTTGAATATTTATTACAATAATTTTTGTCGATATAAAATAAATAAATTATAAAGTTTCTAAGTGTAAAATTTAAGTTTTTAATTTTTATTGCAAACAATAAATTATAAAAACATTTCTAATAAAAAGTGTTTCGTTCATTTGAACGTTCAAAACTTGTGGATCATTAGATAATAATTGAATATAATTACGTAAAATTGAATTGTAAACATATGGATTTGAAAATTCTCAAGGAACTTTTGCAATAATTATTAAAAATAATTGATAATTGAATTCTAACAAAGAATTTTAATAAAATTCTTGAAAATAATTACATTTTTCTAAGAATTTACTAAAATTTGTATTAAAAATAATTAAAATCCTGCAAAGAATTTTATTATTCAGGAAAATAATTGAATTTTTATTACATTTTTTAAAATAATTGAAATCCTTTGAAGAATTTTATTAAATTTTTTTAAATAATTGAATTCTTTTGAGAAATTTTATTAAAATAGTAGATTTTGAAAATATTTGAATTTCAGCGATGATTTTCATGACTCGTGAAATGTAATTGAATTCTTGCAAACAATTTTTTAAAATAATTACATTTTTTAAATAATTGAATTCATGTGAAAAATTTTATTATTTGTAAAAATAATTGAATTATTCTTGCGAAGGATTTTATTTTAAATTTTATATAAATTTAAATTATTATAAGTTGTTGAAGTTCGTAAAGGTTTGAATTTGAAAAATAGTAATTAAATATTTATTTAAAAATAATGTTATTGGTGTTTTTTGATAATTTGACAATTAAGGAAATTTATAAATAAATATATCTAATAATCTTTAGAGTGAACCAGAATATTCTTTAGGTTGAGGGAAAAAGTGAAAATTTTGTCTGGAAATCAAAGAAAAGTGAGGGAAAAAGAAAATACATTTTTTGTGGCAACCCTGGTGAAATTCTATCTGCTGTTTTCAACGAAATATTTGGATTTTTAATGCGAAAAAAATGTTACTTCCATTTTCGTTTAATTTTACTAAAAGTAGGTACTATTCGTTTTATTTTGATGTCAAAAAGAATCGTTCTTTGTTAGAAGTTGTTTTCGTTCAAGGATGAAAATTCGCGAGTAATTGAGAGAAAAAGAGAAAAAGAAAAAAAGGACAAAAGAAAGAAAAACGCGTGCATTCTTGAGAAGTTTCATATAAGAATCCCGAAATTCGCAAAAACGTTTCATTCTACTGTATAAAGGGACGTGAAAGAATTCTTGGTATTTTCACTTGAAAAGGGGAAGCAGATGCCGGAAAACGTGCCGGCAATGTCGAGAGGGAGTCTTGTCTGTGCCGAGTTCAGCAGCAGAGTTTCCTTTACAAAAGTTTTTGGGCTTTCGCCGACGAGAGAGGACAGCATTGCGCGCGCGTTAACTCTCTCGCCGGTGATCGCAGTCCGGAAAGGGTGTAAAAACAACACGACTCTCTCTCTCACAGTAGGTAGTACTTCAGTGCCCGATAAAGTGAGTCGAGACAACAAGATTGCAAAAAAAACAAAATCAAAAACCATCAAGACAAGATCGCCCCATGGAAATAGAAGTTCAATAGCGAGCAAGGTCTGGGACACATTGGCAGCAGTGAAAAAGAGTCGTGGACCACATGAGATTGTCGATGCCGGCCTGATTGTACGTTTAGACGGTATCACTGGACCTACGTGTTATGTGAACCCCAGTGGTGATAACAGTAATTCATGCCATGGTACTTTTATAACCGGATACAACGATTTAAATTCCGCTCCTACACCTTCACAGGATCAAGATTTATCCTCAGGTTCGTTTTTTAACGTTAACAACTTTTTTTGCCTTTTTTCACCTTTTTTCCTTATAACTGTTTGAATTCTGACTTTCTGCAAATATCAATATTGCCACAAGTTTGAGAATTCAGGGAAAAGTAAGGGATTTTTATTAAAAGCACCTACTGGAAAAAATTTAATTTCGTGACAATTTTTTTTTTTTTTTTTTTTTTTTTTGACTCATAAACTATGCAATTTTTTCCAATTATTATTATTCGGGAAAATTTTACAAAATTCGTCGAAAGAATTCAATTATTTAAAAATGTTAATTATCTTTATAAATACCCAATAAATTTCTTCTCCAAAATTAAATTATTTTCAAAAATTTTAATAAAATTCTTAAAAAATTTCAATTATTTTCAAAAAATTTCGAAACAAATTCAATTATTTAAAAAAAATTTTGAGAAAATTCTTCGCAAGCATTTGTATAGGGGAGAGTGGGGCAAACCGGCCAGGTGTCAATATCTCCGAAATGGCAAAATTGTCAAAAGTGCTATTTAGAAATTTGAAACAACCATGTGTAGTATACCTTATTTTTTCAATTTGACATTTTTTACTTTTGTTTTTGCAACGCTGGGAGCAAAAGTGTTTTTTAGTTCTTTTCTACACTTTTACGAATTTTTTCTTAAGGAAATTCTGAGGAAATCGTGTAATATTTCCAAATATTAGGTCTTAGGTTTTGAAGGTACACACCTCAGGAATATTTACCACCAAAAACTTTGATGAATCTGCAAAGCGGTTTTTTTAAACAAATATTAATTCTCAAAATGGGCCTGTAGGGCAAACCGGCCATAGGATATTTTCATTGTATCAGAGTTTCACGAAAATTATTATTAATTAGAATGTTTTTTTCATTAAAATATTTACTTTCAATGAAAAATAATTATCTTCCAATGAGAATTAGACCCTTAATATTGTTTCCCTGATAATTTCAAACATTTTTATTTTTTTATTAAAAAAAATATTTATTTAAGGGGCCGTACACATAATACGTCACGCGGCTAGGGGGAGGGAGGGGGTCTGAGAATTGTGACTAAGTGTGACATGGGGGAGGGGGGGGGGTGAACTCATGTGTTACGTCACAATCTTTTAAATTCAAAGATTATAAGAAATTATATGTGACAATGGCACTTTTTCTAAATAAAACATGTTAAAAATGCTCTAAACTATTTAATATCTATTATATGTACCTGTTTAACATCTATTGGTATATTATTTATAATATGATAAGTAATATATTCTCTTAATTTGAATCAGTTAAAAATCATGGTTTAAACTGGCAATCAGCAGTGACTGTCTTTTTGTATCTGAATCAGTTAAAAATAACTGAAAAATTATCCACAAAACACCGAAACTTTTCTAAATATATGTATATTAAAGATTTGCTTGCATACTTCGAAAAGTTTACTAGCAATTAGTTTATTTAAAATTGTGTAAAGATTTAAATTTCTCACTCCAATAAATGTTTATCGTCAAATTTTCTTAAAAATATAGCTTGAAACTTTCCTGAACATTTAATTACACTTTTGACTATACTTTCGTAAAAATTTTGCTGAAAATTTAAGTTAAATTTTCAGGAATGTTTCGCGCTAAACATTTATTGAAGTGGGATATTTAAATCTTTATACAATTTTTACTAAACATTGCATTTAAATATTTCGAAGCTTGCCTTCAATAAATTGTTAGGAAAGTTTCGGTGCTATGTAGGTAGTTAAACGTGACTAATAATTAAATCAATCCAAAAAAATTTTATTGAAACATCAGTTATTTTTAACTAATTGTCAGAAAAAAAATATTACTATTTGAATTAGTGACTGATTTCTTGCTTCTAAATCAGTTATTTCTAACTGATTCAATAATTTAGAGTGTTGTATATAATATATAATGTCCAATGTATAAAATTTACAGTGAAATTTACGTGTGTGACGTGACGTAGGGGGAGGGAGGGGTTCAAGGTTTGTGACGAAGTGTGACATAGGGGGAGGGAGGGGTCAAAAATGGTCAAAAATCGCGTGACGTATTATGTGTACGGCCCCTAATTAAAATTCAATCCTGTATTATTATTTACATTATTAATTATTAATTACCGCACCACGGTAATACCGGATCCCTGTACTTCCCGAGACAAGCCCTTAAACATTTCCTTTCAAAAACCCGAATTCTTTCCATCGTAAAACAGCTCCTTGTGACTAAAAAAGGTTTTGCTAGCCTTTTCCAGTACCGCATCTGCATGAATGCCATATTTGAGTCTATCATCTAAGTAGACACCAAGATATTTCACATTGATGCTGTGCGAGATAGGGCTGTTTTCCTCCTCATCGTACTTTATTTTAAAGTCTCTCCATACCTTACAGTATTTTATGTTGTTGATATTACTGATTTTTGGTCTGAAAAGGACAGTCTCACACTTATTGTAATTACAATTTAATCGCCACGCTGCGAAAAATTTATACACCCTTCTAAACAAGTTCTGCAATTCATCTTGTGCCTTAAACATACATTTATGGATAACTTAGATTATTATGTCTTTGGCAAATCCGATCGCTTTTTTATACTCAATAGTATTGAGTCCCAACGATTTTAATAATCCACAAATATAAATGTTGAAAAGAAGGGGAGAATTTACTGCCCCTTGCTGAAGGCCGTTAACCAATATATACTGTCTGCTATTATCTTTATCGGATAAAGAAATAAACATTTTTCTACCTGTTATCATACTCCAAACAATTCTGATCAGATAATTAGGATAACCTTTTTTTATTAATCTAAAGAGAAGACCTTCCAGCCAAACGGAGTCAAACGCCTTCTCCAGATCGATAAGGGCTGCAGCCGCGAATTTTTTTTTGCTAAAGGCCTCACTAGCTTCGGATACAAGTTTGGTTATTGCATGAGTCGTGGATATTTTATGCTTAAAGCCAAATTGTTCATGAGGTATTATTTGGTTTTCATATGTAAATTTAGCTACTGATCTATTAATTGCAACTTCAAATAGTTTACTTAAATTCGGTAGTAAACTAATTGGTCTGTAACTTTCCACCAATCTTGAGTCTTTATTTTTTTTAAGAAGCCGTATGACTTTCGCCACTTTCCAATTGCTTGGAAAACAACCATTATTAGGCATATTATTAAATAATATAACTAATTGTATAACAATGTTCATTGGTAATCTTTTTAAAGCTACATTTGGTATCCTATCGTTTCCCGATGATTTTTTATTATTTAATTTATTTAAGAGAGGTTTGAGTGAAATATAAGAACAAAAAAAATTCGGGTCCTCAAAGACCGGATCGGTAGCTTTGTTTGCTGCATTAAATGTTATCAATGAATTCGTATGTGGTGAATTTGGGTTATTATCGAATGCGGGCCCCTCGCGTGGGCCCTCAAGGATTTGCCCTCATGGATCAGCCCTCGTCGGCCCCCGCCGGGGGCCCTCACGTCGTGTGGGCTTGATGGGGACTTTTTCCACACGGGTTATTGAATTTCAAAATGTTTCAAACTAAAATTTTATTACATTAAGTTTTCGTCACTTAAGCAAAGTAATAGGTAATTGAAATTGTTTCTAAATTTAAAATTTTAGTTTTCATTTTTTATTGCAAACAATAATTGATTCTAAATGTTAAATTTTAGTTTTTATTTTATATTTTTTGCAAACAATAATTTATGAAAATATTGCAATGACAAATATTTCGTTCATTTGAACGTTAGAAACTTGTGAATCACTTTTCAGCGAATTATCAGTAAAATAATTCTTTGCGAAATACAAAAAATATTTTTGAAATTTTTTTGAAATTTAAGTGCTTAATTTTTTCTTTAAACTTACAACTCGAAGTTATTTGTTTAGAATAGAAAAATAACTGCACACATAATTTAGAAAATAAATATTTACCTAAAATAAATTAAATAATTTCTGAGGGAAGAGATAAGAGAATGGAAAATATTGAAAAAGTTAAGTGCTTAAATTATTAAATCACTATTTATATTAATGATTTTTTATATATTTTATCTCTCCCTGTTTCCACCTTAGTTATCCATTTTTCAAATGTCAAAGGTTAGAATTTATGTAATTTATTTTTATTCGTACATTTATTTTGATTGTCATTATTAAAAGGAAATTACCATTTTTTATACAATTCATTTATTTACAACGTCAGAGGTAATAATCTTTTTTATTGATTGACAATATTATTAAAAAAATTTAACAATGTATAGAAATATAGAAAATGGGAATAATTTTAAATTTATGATTTTTAAAGGAAAATTAGTTATTTTTATACCTATATGCATAAAATATTATGGTTATTTCGCTAAAATATTTGTTTTATAGATATTGTGGTTGGTTTTTTTCTTATTCACAATTTTTTGCTTGATAAGAATTTCAATATTTCATTCGTACATTTACCCTTGGAAATTCAGTCTCCCTTTTTCTATTAAATCACTCCCACCCAAAAGCTATTAACTCAAGAGTCAAACCCACATATAAAATAAAAATATATCTTTTTATTATTCCTTTTTTCAATTAAATAAAAATCTTTTTCTATTTAAATTATAGCAGGGTTGCCACGCAACCTGGAAACCTGGAAAACCTGGAAATGTCAGGGAATTTTTATAAACCTTGAAAAAACCTGGAAAAGTCAGGGAATTTTCATTGGAATCCTGGAAAATTATTGTTTTCTGAAGTTATTGTGCTTATTCTTGAAATCTAATTTTTCTTTAATTCAATTTTCTTAATTCAATTTATTTTAAAAGAGTTGCCTTTACAATTTTTCTTCGCAATAATTCAATTATT